CCTAAATTAAAATTAGTGTTCACAAGTTTTCGAGAAATCTCTTTTATTGTTTTTATCTGCTAAATTACGAACGCACAGTATAATTTAGAATAATATAACATAATAATTATATTTTGCACTTATATACTCATGTTTTAAAATTTCAATGCTCTAAAATAATTATTTACAAGATGGTAATAGTAAATAGGCTTATCTAATACCGAGGGTAAGTAACACCCGATAAAGCGCACATCCATGCAACCACGGGTGTTACATTTAAAAAACCGAACCGTTGTCGAACGGATTGCCGAATGCTAAACAGGGTGTTACTTACCTCCATGCTACCGGGCCCGTGTTCCATGGAACACGCGGAACACCGGTGACTACGCCCCTGCCTGTTTCAGGCATATCAACGGTATTCGATAACAATATGTAGTCAAAAATATTAATATTTTTTCTGCTTCCAACCGAAAATAAATTTCTCATTTATTACAGTATAACACAAACATGGACCGACAATTTTTAGTAGGAATCGGGCAATTTTTTAGGAAACCTAACTAATTTCCGAATCTCTGTGTCAAAATCAAATGCTGGACGAATTTTCAAAATTCTGTAGAATGTACAATACAGCGAAATAATTACTGTACGCATGGTCATCATATTTTTATGTCTCGGTCGGACGGTCGGTTGCCAGCTAGGAAAAGTGCTAATTAATTGAATTAAACAACAATACGTGATAAGAACGGTGCTACGATTACCGATTTATCGAAATACCGAGAATCTACCGAAAAAATAAAAATCATATGATTTGAGATTTCTAGGTTAATTTGCAGTAGAATTAGAATTAATAATTTTAAGTGGATTCTATAGGTCCCCATTCACTAGCGATAAACGAGCAATCCCCATCGAGCGATCTAGTCGCTTTCGGTTATATTAGGCCGGAAAAAGCTGCATCTGCTGAAAAAATCCGAGTGAGCCTAAATATTGTCTATACCTTTATTTTACCTCAAGAAATAATGTCTTAAAAGTCCTCATCAATATCGCGCTTGGGTTTTCAGATATTCAAGGTCAAAGGTCATCTCATTTTTTCAATTATCTTACTTTTCGTCAGCGTATAACTGAGTTTGAGAACATCAAAATCCATGAAATTGGCAATTGGCATGGCACCATTTTGACAATATGTCTTGATCTTCTTGAAGCACTAAATAGTCTGGAGAGGGTATTTTTAGTAACTGTTTCAAGTAATCAGCGAACATAGAAGAAAAAGACTATGCTTAAAACCAGATAAAAAGTCATTGATTAAGATGTTGAATAGAAGGGGGCCCAGGTGCGAACCCTGGGGGACGCCTGATGATATTAATATTTGAGGAGATGTAAAGTTGTTAAGATGAACCATTTGAGTCTTACCTGTGACATAGCTCTTTATCCATTGTAGGAGAGAACCTGAAACACCGAAGGTCTCTAGTTTTTTAATTAAAACTTCGTGGCTCACTCTGTCAAATGCATTGGAGAGGTCGGTGTAAATAGAGTGTACCTCTTCACCTCTCTCCAAGGCTCTAGTCAGGATGTCCACATAAAACGACATAAGTGGGAAGAAGTTCGGTAGAAGATTTTTTTTTTTGAAGCCAAACTGCTGGTGTTTAATTGCAGGTCCAAGACAAGATGTTAAGAATTTTGTGACTATATTTTCAAATATGTTTGGAATAGCATCGAAGATACGGCGATTAGTCACATTTTCTGAATCACCTGATTTATGAATGGGTACTATAAAACTTGATTTCCAGAAGTCTGGAAATATATTGTCCTGTAGTAGTGGTTCCTTGAACATTATATGCAGAGGTCGAGCTAGAACGGGTGCTACCCTCTGTTTTCGTGGCGTATAAAGTGGAAATGGTTGGATTGACGTGAAATAGGTGAATAAAATTTTTTGAAGAGAATTTTCCAATATTTTTTTTCCTGTCATAGCCAAAATAGTTGTAGGACATACAGAATATTTAAGAAAAACTCATTTCTGTGACATTTGACCTTGAATATCTTGAAAAGTAAACAAGATATCGTTGGGGATTTTTAATACATTATTAGTATAATTAAAGTTAAGGTGTATGCAAAGTTACAAATCACTCTGATTTTTTCACTAGATGAATTCTTACATGATTGTACTACCCAGGGTAGTGCGCCATATCAATAAAATTAAAAGCGATATTGTGGTTGCCAAGCAATCTTTCGATGTACAAAGCGAAAGGTGAATCGGGTTGCGATTGCCAGCAATTTGAAGAGGTTGCACGAGCAGTGGCGACGCCAGGGGGGGGCCGGGCCCCCCCCTGAAATTTAGCTGGCCCCCCCTGAAAACTTGCCCTCATGTCGACAACAATGCAATGCAACATGCGTAACCTCTGCTCTCTGGTTAATTTGATATTGGTGGGCGCCAGGCAACCACGACTATGCTTTCGCTTTTCTGGGATTCCCCCAAACATATTTGTGTCGACAGGTACAGGGTTTTCCTGTGTATTTTTGGCACCTCACCTGAAGGCCGGTTTCTCAATAGCAAGCAAGTCACCCCCAGGTCAGAGCAGTTAACCATAACTCCAGGGTAAACATTGCAATTGGACACGTTTACCCTGGACTAGCTATCGAGAAACCGACCCTGAACGGTTAATTGAATAGGTATCAAGAAGATTTATCTAGAATATAGAAAACGGTAAGAGATATAGGTTCGGTGAAATTAGTACAAAGTTGCGCAATTTCTTGCTTAACCAAAGGCTACTTCGAAATTTGGAAAATTCCGAATACTTCCGGAGATACGTGGAAATCAAAATTTTGTAAAATCCATTTCTATATTTTCCTGGACTCATTTGTAAAGGTACTTCAAATAAACTTCACTTTATTGGGGCAACTTTCTCCCCTCTACATTATGGTGTAACCAAATTTGAAATCCGACGTTTCGTCTTTTGCCGATCATCATCAACTTTTATTTTTTCAAATAGAGGTTTGCATTTTTATGAATTGTATTCGGAGTTTCTTGATCTCCCAAAAGCAGTAACACATTTGGCCATTGATTCCGATTTTGTATCTCTTACCGTTTCCTACCCAGCAAACACGAACTGACGGTAAACAATCGGCCGAATGCCTTGAACGATGGGTAAGTGACGGCATCGGCAAAATGCAGTTGGCCCCTTGTGTTTTCGATCATTGAATTCCGACTGTTGGCATTTGAATGCTGGCATAGCGTCGGGGCTTTTCTATTAATGATTTCAAATTATACAACTGGTACTATATCATTGGACCGGCAGTTTACCAATATATGTTTCCCAGCCTCCTTGAAAATTTCGAGCAGGCGCACCGCGCACCCGTTCTTCATGTGTGTTCTGTGCCTTGTTGAACCTGAACGGCATTGACGGCCATTACCTCGTTGGCGACGTATGTTTGTGGCTTCGTTTTTGTTTTTAGATTTTGTTCTTGGTCTTGTGCTTTGGGTAATTTCTCAATAATTGTGGAAATAAGTTATTGTGTTGTGTTGTCGCGCGAAAAGTCAATTGTTAAATAGATATAAGACAAAACTTTCCGGCAACGAAGACTACTTGGTGAGTATAGGTACTTGTATTTAAAATAACGCATGTACATTAAAAAATGTTGTTATTCTTCTTTTCAGATGGAAATGATGGATTTTTTTTCTATTTTCTAAGTTTATGTGTTAGAATTTAAGTTTATATTTGGTATTTCTTCCAAAGAATTTTATTTATTTATTTCTATATGCTAATGAAATGTTGACTTTTTTCCTATAGTATTGTATTGTATTACCTAAATATTAACTATTTTAGATATTTTTATAAAAATGCATTTTTATTTTCAAAGATTTATGAGGAATAATGTAACTTATATAATCTATCTATGATTTTTTCGATAAAACCTTAATTTGTTTGAAATTGTAGTCCTCCAGAAAGGCTCCGATTCCTACTACCAAGAAAAACGAACAGCAGAAAAAAATTGTTGTGTCATACCAAGTTGCAGAAAAAGTAAAATTCGATTTTTGGAATTATTTACTAGCATTCCGGTATATAATATTACAACCATGTATAAAGTTATGGCCCTGTGATGAAAATCCATCAAATATACTGTAAAGGACCATAAAATTTGAGGAAGTATACCCAGCGTTGGCCCAATGTAATGATTCAGACGTTGAATCGGCCCAACGCTGGTTCATACTGTCGGCCGAATTGCGGCTCGACTGTCGGCCGGGCGGTCATATACGATCCGGACCAGTACTTTTTTCAATTAGTTGGGCAGATGCCTGTTATCCGGCAAAGAGGCATTCGTACGATGCTGGGCCGTAAGAAATGTGTTTGTTGGGTATATTCCAATGGTTGTCCTCGAAAAACGGACACCCTGTATACAAAATCCAAATAAAAACCTTTTTGATACATTCAATCAAGTGGAGTGCAAAAATATACGGATAAACTTTGCAATTCCCATTTTTTATTTCAAAGAAGAAAAGCAATAAAGTAAGAACAAGTGCCCCCCCTAATTTTTTCTGGCCCAGCCTGGCCCCCCCTAACGTAAAACCCTGGCGTCGCCACTGTGCACGAGGATCGCCCAATCAGTAGACATTGGCAACCAAGCTGCTCAACTTTTTTTATAATTTAATACTTGGACAGGAGAGTGTCGTTTAAATAAATAATTTCCAGAGAGTTTGATTGACAACCAAATTGCTTGAATGTCGCCTAATAAATGGCCCGTTCTGCATCAACCCAATTTCCAAGAAATTCAAAGCAATTTTATCGATCCACTTGGTTGCGGCAAAATCGCCCAGTCAATGGGGGCCTTATGAGATTTAGAAGTTTCGTATAGGATTTAGTTTATTTGTTCTCTACATTTTATTTTGGGAAATTAAAAAGTGACAATTTTTAGGTTTGGTAACTTATTTTTTGCGAGGCTCCTTAGGGCGCAAGGCCGTCGGCGGTCGCCGACGCCTAGCTACGCCACTGACACTGTCACCAGAAGAAGTGGGCCAACTGATACCCAGGAAAATTGCTTCTTTCGGCAGAAGTCTGCGCTTCCTGGAGACAACTTAAGATGTAGAGTCACGTACAAAATATCTGCAAAGGTAGTAGTGCTTAGCGGCTGAAAAGCCGAAACGACTCGATCCCCCACAATCAGTGTTGCCACAAGCTCTGAAAATTTCTTGCCAGACTATGAATTTTAAAGGGGCCATCAGATTTCTGATTTTCGGGCAAACCTTCCACAAATGAAAAAGAAGAGAGAAAGCCCGCCGGAGGCAGAATTTTTTTTCGGTTGCTACGCCCAAAAACGCTTATTTTGCATAAAAAATAATGATTTGGCTTGTGATGGAGAAACGAACCAGATTCGGAAAAGAGTGGCCAACGGGCCACTACGTCTTAGAAAGGGCCAGATCTGGCCATAATGGGCCACCTGTGGCAACACTGCCCACAATTAAGCAATTCAATCCATCTGTCAAAACGTAAAATTCAATATGGCGTGGCGGCCAGCAAGTTTGTTTTGAATATGTGTTTTCATGTATATTTTAATTATTTTGCTTCGAGCTTTGCTTGCAGTTTTGATTTTGATTATTCAATAAAATATTTGTTTACTAGGTACGTAAACTCTTAAGTCGGGCAGAAACCAGAAATTTTTTTGTGTTTTTTGGCCCATGTGTGGCCGCCACGCCATCTTGAATGTCACGTGGTTTGAATTGCCTAATTCTACAATCTATTTGCCTTTTTGAGGCTTTATTCTTGACTTTACATAGGTAGAAAATTTGACATTGTTAACAGTTAATGCACTGTTTAATTGTCAACACAGTCAAATTTTCTCTCGAGAGAAAGTCAAGAATAACGCCCCAGATATGGCGAAACGTCATCCTTGGAAATTTGGCAGGTTGACCCTCGTATAATAATGACAGTACCTATATGTCAAATTCGAGACAGTTTGAAGTGTGTTTTACATAATTTCGTAAGTGTCGCGGTATTAAAATTCTCTGGCTTATCTGGCCAATCAAATTTGACACATTTTTCAATGGTGCGATATATAAACGGAACTTAATTATTTTGCATACCTGCAAAATCTATTGACAGCTTTTAAAATTCGGCATTGTCAAATTTATTTCATATTCAAGATGCCCAAAATTATTACACAAAAAATAAGAGAAATAATAAAATGTTACGGCTTATTCAGGGAATACAAATTGAAGCCTAACTACCATAATATATTTGGGAAAGGTATAGTTTAAATGTAGATGTAATAAAGCCAGTTTTTACAACCAGCAATCAATATTTTTGTTGGACCAAACTCGAAAAAAAAAGTTACTGTGATTATTCCACTCATGTGTTAGAAATCCCATAAGACAAGTGACAATTTTCAAAATTACAGCGAAAATTCTTATTTCCATTAGTTTAACTAGAGAGAATTACAGCGATAATTCTCCCATGTTAATGGTATTCATGGTTGTCATGCTAATTTTTGATACAAACAAACGCTTGCTGGTTGCAACCATTTATTTCTATCATTACAAACTAATGGATGCTGTTATTATTTATCATTATATTATTATTAACATTTTCATTCGTGGAATAATCCTCTTAATACCACTCGAGCTCTAAAATGGACCAGATAATTTTTCACTCATGCGTGTTTTCTTTGCAAATTTCACTCGTCCTACGGACTCGTGAAATTATAGAAAACACGCAATCGTGAAAAATTATCGGTAATTTTGAAGCTCTCGTGGTATTATCCCCGATTATTCCACTCATGTGTTAGAAATCCCATAAGACAAGTGACGATTTTCAGAATAACAGCGAAAATTCTCTTTTCCATTTGTTTAACTAGAGAGAATTACAGCGAAAATTCTCCCATGTTATTGTATACATGGTTGTCATGCTAATTTTTGATACAAACAAACGGTTCCTGATAGCAACCATTTATTTGTATTGATTGTTAAGATGTTCAAATCGTTAAATACATATTTATTTCCATATTTTTTTGCATTCCCATACGTGAAATAATCCTCTAAATACCACAAAATAAAAAAACAGATATGGGGAGTCGCCAACCCAAAATGGGCTATTATTAGGGCCAAATACTGGAACTGCTCTTCACAGTGGGAACTGATCCACTGCAAAATAAACAGGGTCCGGTCCAAGTTTGAGTTCAAGTCCGGACCACTTTTGCGTTGTCTACGTTGTACGGACTCGGACTCAAACCCGAACTAATCGGATCACGCCGCGCGGGCCAGTTGAACAGGAAAAAGTGTGGACTCGGAGTAGGGACACGGAGTCAGAGACGGACTACACTACACCGACAGACTCGTTTCGATCAACGGCTCGGGATTGTGGGGATTACGCCGCACCGGTGCGGCCGCTGGAACGGAGAGAGTACGAGAGTGAACCGCCGATAGGATATAAGCTGCTTTCCAGTATGTAGCTGTATTCCTTTCAAGAGTTTGAAATACTAGAGCTACTTGCTCCGGTGTTAGTCACCCGATTTAAAAGGAACCGATGCGCTGACTTTCGTGCATTTATGATTTACTTTGGACTTGAGTACTCAGTGCAACAAACAATTTTCGAAAGGAATAAGCGCGTAACGCCCCGGAGCTGTTCCGGAGCTCCTCCTAGGTGTGAAAGGAATACAACTATTCACCATTTTCACGTATTTTCGTTATTAGCTAGCTAATCACGGATAATTATGTAATCACGGTTAAAGTGTCGGTTCGACGCACCAAAGGATTTTGCACTCAAATTAGTTAATTGTGATTTTGTAATATGGGCCAGCTGAAAGGTGCTCACCGATAACTTCGCAAATTTCCTTTAGATTTTAATAAAAGCCCATTTTGGGTTGGCGAGACCCGTCATATCTGCGTTTTTGTCGATGAATTTTAATTTTATAATCAAACAAACAAAACATCCAGGGCATGTAGGATTTTATTTGAAATAAACAGTAATTACATAGTCATTATACCTAGTTACTGGAATCAAGTCATAAATTTGCATAGGATATAGGTACTACACCCTATAATAATGATAGGGCATCTTCTACCTCTTCAAGAAGATCTATGATCTACGACTATTGGCTTATAAGATCAGATCATCCAAGGCTTCAAAATAATTTTCCCTCTCATTCCAACGCCTTGGAAACGGAAATCCATCTAACACAATTTCATTAGTATCCAAATTAATCATCGTCAAGTAATAGGTCTTCCACCTCCATATACCTGATTTCATTTCTCTTTTTTCCTGGCTCATCACCTCACACAAACTTTCCAGTTTTTTTTTTTTACAAAAATGTTTGTCAAATGTAAACATGAAATTTGAAATCGGAACCAAATAAACAAAACATCCAACCTCATTTTATTAACTAGCCGTGGTTATTTTGTCCTAAGCTGCAAGCCATCGAGCGATTCAAGTTTATTGCCGATAAGGCGAAAAAAACGCTTGGTGCATAAGAAAAATATTATGATCACGGCTAAAGTCTTAATCAGAGAATTTGTGCAATGGTGCACACGGGCATTAGAAATTATCAAAAAACCATTTTCTGGAAAAAAAAGGATTTATGATTATAAATATCAAATTCTACTTTACCGCACACTATGCGGTAAAGTGCACTTTACCGCACACTTTGTAGTCCACTTTACCGCATACTATGCTGTAAAGTGCTACTTTCCATTTGCAAGTACGTGCGGTAAAGTGCACTTTACCGCACGCTCGTAGGTAATAGCTATTTACCTAACAAGTGCGGAAAAATTCGCGGAAAATGAATTTGGCTGCCGTTCACCGAACGACGCGTAGCGGAGTTCGGTGATGCAGCCGAGTGCGGAAAAATATTTTCCGCAAGTGTTAGGTACAATATTTTTCCTACAGGCGTAAAAAAATGGAAAATTTTTCTTTTTTTTTTTGACATATGAATTTTTTCCGCACTGACAGCCGTGCGGAAAAACTTTTTCCGCACTGATATGTCAAAAAAAAAAGTTTTACCGCACCGTGCGGAAAAACTCATTTTCCGCACGCATATTAGTGCGGAAAATCGATTTTTCCGCACGGCTGTAGGAAAAAAAGGCAAATTTTACATTTTTTCGCCTGTAGGAAAAATATTGTACCTAACACTTGCGGAAAATATAAATAGCTATTACAGTTTAGCTGTCAATTTTACAAGTCAGTAGAGCCAGTAACTGGTAAAAATCAATTTTCGTTGTTTATGTTTTGACTTGATAAATGACGTTTTACAAATGAGTGACAAAAAATAAAAATATTGTTGATTCTCCATTTTCTTTACAGTTTCAATTGAGAATTAAATTATTGCTATTTATTAAAAACAGAGTACAGAGACGGAGTTTCGTATTTCCTGTCGTATTGGGCCAAGAACTGCACTGAAATGGCCAATGGAATTCGCTACTGGTTCTGGTTCAGTGTTCAGTGTGGCTCGCGCATCAACAAGAAACGAAACGGCGACAAAAAATTGAGGTTAGAAAATGAAATGGAGCATATTTTAATAAATTTTGGGCGCGATTTTTTAAAGACATCTGTCAACAGCGAGCAGTATTTGGAAAGGGTAAATTTGCTTTTATTTCCATATTTTATCTGCCTTTAAACTAGGACTTTTCTTTTTTGTTCATAGATTCAATATAATGGCTTCAAGCAGAAAAAACATGAAAGTTGCATCCAAGAAAATTGGTACCCATAATGGTATGTTCCATTGTGATGAGGCTTTGGCTTGTTTTATGCTCAAACAACTTCCCGAGTATGAAGATGCTGAAATTGTTAGGACCCGCGATTCGAAGGTGAGCCTTTTAACTTTAAGTAGGTACACAAGTACGGGTCGAAACACATGATTTCATCTTAGATTTTACCCTTACAACAAATTGAAATGTGCTATTCTAGGTGTTGGATGATTGCGATATTGTTGTAGATGTTGGTGCAATATATAATCCAAAAACCAATAGATATGATCATCACCAACGTGACTTTGATGCAACTTTAAATGCTGTTTGCCCAGATCTAACGAAAAATAAATTTAACAGTATTAGATTAAGTTCTGCTGGATTAGTTTATGCCCACTTTGGCTTAGAAGTCCTTTCAGAAACCCTAAAAAAAGAAAAGAAAAATCCTACAACTGAATGCTTAAAAGTTTTGTTCCTACATATATATGGTGGCTTAGTGGAGGAATTAGATGCTATAGACAATGGTATTCCAATGTACGCTGAAGGCAAGCCCAGATATAGGATTAACACTCACTTAGGGGCAAGAGTTCATAGACTGAACCCTGTATGGAATGATCCTAATCCAGAACATGATGATGTGCTTTTTGGTAAAGCTATGCAACTGGTTGGTTCAGAATTTGTTGAGACAGTATTGGAGGTAGGTATATTTGAACAAAATAAAATCACTTTTAGCACGAATATCATACACTATTTTTTCTACAAACGCACTAAAAGTGATTACTTTTAGCACTAGTGCTAAAAGTAATCACTTTTAACACCAGTGTCATAAAATGGCATTTTAGACACTGACAGCATCCGTTAAAAATGACACTTTTAGTGACGTTTGTAGAAAAAATATGTTAAATTTTTTTTGACTTTGAACAAAAAATGATTATACCTCTATCACCTATTATGAACCTATTAAATTGAAAAGGAAAAGCTAAAATAATTATTAAGCATAAAACATTAAAATAAAGTACAAACAACGGAATATCACATATTTTCAATAGAATAGACGTAAAAAATGCGACTTTTTCAAAAATCATACAAAAGCAGGGTGTTTCATTTGAAAAACAGTTCACCCATGGCGTAATTCTTTGGTTTTTGGTTCAAATGATTTTGTTGTACCATTTTTGAATTCTTTAGAAAAAAATATGCCAATTGGCTGTTTTGAATTTTTTCAAAACTACAGGGAAGGTCAAAAATAAGCCCCTATTCAGTCATTGTTGGATGACTCTGTACAGGGTGTCCGAATTTGGATGGTTTTAATAGGAAACGTCAATTTCTGAGCGAGATACAAAAAAATGAACCCCCCACTCCGAGGCTAAAATTTCTTGAAATTTTGATTGGTGCAAACCTCATTTTGATATCTTCAACCGTTTAGCCGCTAGAGGGCGATTCTCGATTTTGAGCAATACTGTGAAATCTTCATAACTTTTTTGTTTATAAAAATAACTGATTTCCGTAAAAACTTCCTAGAAGCACTTTTTCAAGTAGAATTCAGTGACATTTTCAGTTTTTTTCTATTGGGCCTCGATTTCAAGATATTGAGCAAAATCCGATTTTTTTCAATGGGACACCCTATATATTAATAGCTCATTAGAAAGCTCTGCTTTTGCTGATTTCAATGATACAAATTTCGATAGGTTTATCTCTAACAGTTTTTGAGAAAAAATTTTTTTTCGGCTTTTGTCATAAGAAACAATGAGTTAGAAAGAGTTTCCTCACAGATATAAAGTCCTTTTCTTACACATTGCTTCTTATGACAAAAACCGAAATAATTTTTTTTCTCCAAAACTATTAGAGATAAACCTATCGAACTTTATATCATTGAAATCAGAAAAAGCCGAGCTTTCTAATGAGCTATAAATATATACCGGGTGGTCCTCCGGGAATGACATCGATTGCTTATGGGAAAACTGTGAAAGGTAAAAATTTGAAAATTTGGCAACATAGCAATGTCGATGGGGGACATCCAGGTAAAATATTTTCAAGATGGCGGCATTTCCGGTCATACCGGAAGTTGATACCAACTCGGTTATTTTAAATAGAACACCCCATATATTAATGTATTTTTGGATTCTACATAAAATTCTGAGCAGATTTCATGTAATATACCCTATACCTAAGTTCAACTGTTTTGGAAATATTGACAGTTGAAAATTGACTTTTTGCAACTTTGACAGGCTGTAAAACCTGAACAATTAATTTTAGAGGAAACCCGATTTGACATTCCTATCTTAGATTTTTATAAACTATCATTTGACATCAACTTTGAATTAAATCCATGATTAAAAATTTCAGTTAAATTTAATCTCCGTTTAAGTTCAAAGTTGGTGTCAAATGATAGTTTATCAAAATCTAAGATAGGAATGTGAAATCGGTTTTCCTCTAAAATTAACCAATTAGGTTTTACAGCTTGTCAAAGTTGCAAAAAGTCAATTTTCAACTGTCAATATTTCCAAAACAGTTGAACTTAGGTATAGGGTATATTACATGAAATCTGCTCAGAATTTTATGTAGAATCCAAAAATACATTAATATATGGGGTGTTCTATTTAAAATAACCGAGTTGGTATCAACTTCCGGTATGACCGGAAATGCCGCCATCTTGAAAATATTTTACCTGGATGTCCCCCATCGACATTGCTATGTTGCCAAATTTTCAAATTTTTACCTTTCACAGTTTTCCCATAAGCAATCGATGTCATTCCCGGAGGACCACCCGGTAGAGTGTCCTATTGAAAAAAAACAGACTTTGGTCAATATCTCGGAGTTGGGACCAACTAGAAAAAAACTGAGAACGTCACTGAATTTTGCTTGAAAAAGTGCTTTTTACGGAAATCAATAATTTTCATAAACAAAAAAGTTATGATGGTTTCACATTATTGGTCAAAATCGAGAATCGCCCTCTAGCGGCTAAACGGTTGAAGATATCAAAATGCGGTTTGCACCAATCAAAATTTCAAGAAAGTAGAGCCTCGGAGTGGGGGGTTCATTTTTTTGTATCTTGCTAAGAACTTGATGTTTCCTATTAAAACCATCCAAATTCGGACACCCTGTACCGTGCGTTCAATTTATCTTGATAACATTTTAATTCGCTGTAACTTTTTTGTTTTTGAAGGTATAAAGGTTAACAAAAAAACAAAATATAGGGTTAGTAGGCAAGTTTTTTTTTCAAGTTACCTATAAAACAAAACACTATCAATTTTCTGACATATGAGCCTTCATTATATTTTTTTAAATGGAACACCCTGTATATTATATACGTGTTTGATAGAATATCTTATTCCGATTACAATGATATAACACACTTCATATTTCAGTCCACTCGTTTTTGACAAATCGCCAAAAATATATGAAACTTTTGAAGTGTAACTTTTAGGCAATGATCTGATATTTGGGTCGAGAATTATTGAGTGTGTATATAAAAACTTCACTTTTTTGCTGATTTGTCAAAAACGAGTGGACTAAAATATGAAGTGTGTTATATCATTGTAATCGGAATAAGATATTCTATCAAACACATATATAATATACAGGGTGTTCCATTTAAAAAAATATAATGTAGGCTCATATGTCAGAAAATTGATAGTGTTTTGTTTTATAGGTAACTTGAAAAAAAACTTGCCTACTAACACTACATTTTGTTTTTTTGTTAACCTTGATACCTTCAAAAACAAAAAATTTACAGCGACCTAAAATGTTATCAAGATAAATTGAACGCACGGTACATCTCACAGTCTTCTTCTACTTATGTATATTTTGGAGCAGAATTGCAAAGATATCCAAAAAGTGGTAGGTAATTTATTTTGAGTGCTTGAGAAGAAAGCCTTACGGACCACTCCAGCTGCTGGCAAGATGTCCTTTCCCATTCTTTAGGATTACAGGAATACGAATTTGAGCATTTTTGCCGGTATTCACATTTTGCATCCCTCTAACTCCCAATCTATAGTGGTTTTCACCTCGGTTTTCGCCCAGGGATATATTAAATAGCAAAAGACAGTTTTCAGTTTTTTGGACTTTATTGTGAATATTCAAATCAATAGCCAACATTTCGATACATTCCGTATCTTTCTCAATCTCAAGGCTAAAAAACAATATTTTTATCACTGTACGTGTATTTCTCTTAAATAACAGTTAGTTGAATAATAGTAATTAGTCTTCTAATTGTTTTTAATAATTTATATAGTGTTTCTCTGTTTTTTTAGCCTTGATAATGATACGGGATTTATCGAAATGTTGTCTTTTGATTTAAATATTCGAAATAAGGTCCAAAAAAGTAATTTGCTAGAATATAGAATGTTTTTTTTTTTGTTGAAAAAGATTGCAGTCGAGATCAGAGTCATCATGGTGATGCATGCCAATATCATCATCACTAAATAGAAAGAAAAATCCTATTGAAATAAATTATAAAAATACAAATATTGTAAGAAGACTAATAGTAATATGTAGTAAAGAATAACACACGGTTAACGTGGGATTTTTGGGCTCTATTGATCTTGCCAATTTTTTGATATGTCACAGAGGATTCAATTCTGAACAACCTTTAAATTGGATCAAATCTTGTACAGGGTGAGTCACTATATTTTGACACCGTAATCACAGGTGATAGGTAAATGGTGTAAATACAAAAGTTGTAGCATTTTATCTGAACCGCCAGAATTTTCAATTAGATTGAACAAATGAGCAACGCAAAGTATAAAAATATGCCATTGTTCACTTTTTTCAAATGGAATGCACTTGATGTTCTTTCAAATTCTTCAAGTTCTCGTTTTCTGATTCAGATTATATAATATGTTAATGTTTCTTTTAATAGTTTTGAAAATATCTGGAGTTTAGTTATTAAAAGTACTATTCATGTATCAGAATGTTTTGTAACAGGTGACAGGTAAATCAAGGAAAAATATATTTAAAAAAACTACTCTCTTTGAATAACTAAACTCCAGATATTTTTTTTTTTTTTTAGAAACTTTTATTCATTTCAGATTTACAATTATTTGCACATTCTTTATTAATCAAATCCTTTAGACAGTGATACAGTCACTGGTAACAAGGATAAAAAATCTAAAACTAAAACTAACCAACAATGATATAATATACCATAAAGTCTGTTTTTTTTTTAAAGATAATTCCCCAAGTCAAAAATTTAGTAACTATGTTGGCAGCACAAGCCTTTGCTACATGAAAAAATCGAAAGCATTGACAATTTTACATTTTATTGCCCACAGAATGTCATTTTGGCTTTTATCTGTAAAAAAAAACAGATTTTATTATAAATAACCAATGACCTATTAACACAGATAGACGGAACATCCCATTGATAAAATAGCTTTGTTTTGGTTGACTACATGTTTATGGGCCAGGGGGGTGAGCTGTGAGAGCGGCTGGAGTAGGGATTCAAATGATTCCGCTAACTCCGCCCCCATTTTACTATCGCATACTTGGCAACTCTGAAAATGAAACCAGAATCAGTGCTACAAAAGTGTATCTTTATCCTTATATTTTACATAATTTTAGAAAAAGATGCGGATACACTCACTGCGCACTGATTGACAAATGGAAATTGTCATAAAATACCTGCAGGTCGCATTTTGACATGACAATTGAATAGAAGCCGCTGATTGGTGGAAAGGTGGAATTCGAGGTGAGATTTAT